GATAACCTGCAATGAACTTCATTCCCATCCAGTGGGATTGGCAGTATTTTTTGTCACTTGGTTCCACAGAACTGGGATAAACTGCAGCTGGATGGGCTGCATGGCTCAGGTGTAGACCTTTTCAAATTCTGTTTATCTGGCAAATTTTACTTTCCTTGTGTTGCAATTTTTAACAATCTAATAATTATTAATTTCCATGTATGCTGCTTTATACCCCTCTTACTCCTTAATGGAAACTTATTTTACATTTGTGTTACTTTACAGAGTTACAAAAAAACGTTTCCTGCCATTCCTCAGAAACAAATTCATTGAAAGACAGTTTGGTTCATTTTGTTTCATTCATAACACATTTTGTTTACTGGTGAATTGAATAATCTCTTCTGTAGCAGAAATCTCATGACAGGTCATTAGTTTACATATTGAAGTAAAGTAGGATTGATCTTCGAGGTGTCTGTTAAAAGAAAAAAGCTTTGTTCCAACAGGAGTTTCACAAGAATGGTACAGGGGAATTTAAAAAATAAATTAATCCTTTTTCTTGGTTTGTGTTGTACTAAAATTTTATTGTCATTGACATCAAACATCTACATCACAGCTGGACATATAGCATCCACTCAACCATGCAAAAAATACATTCTGCACTAAAAATAGCTTCTGTTTCAACTGATGTACTACCCCAATCACATATCTTCAGTGCTCCATTTATATGCATCTGTCTGTGCAGCAGCTTTGTTGGCTAACATGGAAAATCGTTTGTTCTCAAAGCCATTCGAGCGGTTCACACCATCCCAGCGATATCCTGGTCTGATGTTAAATCTGTTTGGGGGAGGATCTGGGCCCTTGTACACAGGTTTTTCTGTCAAAAGGAATAAAGGGGTGCAAAGATATGTAAAAAAAAAAAACACGGCAGAGTATTGATTACTAAATTTACTTGTTCAAAAGTGCAAGTCAGGTGAGCTTCAAATTAAACCCTTTCTACCCTAACATCAGTGATCATATTCTCCACACAGTTCTTGATACATTTCTTGAGGTGCTAACAAAGACAATTTGTTGTCAATAAAGAGCTTCTTGTTTGAATGAGTAGGTGATCATTTTCTCTATTCTTGTGGCTTCAACATTTTAATCAGCGGTGAAATTGTAAGGAGAAATTAAATACCAGTCCCTCTCAGAGGTCAAAAGGTTAAAGGGACAAAAGTACCAAACAGTTAAGATCTCATAAGTAACTCTCCTCACTGTTTGCCATACAGTTCTTGTGATGTTAGTTCAGAGAATTTGGTATTGGATCAACTAATAATCCCTTTACTATTATTTTTCTTTATTCTCATCACTTTCATACTTGATACTGTATTGATATTGTAAGGAGAAATTTTGTCTTGGTTACTTATGAGTAAAAGGGTTAAGAGCTTTTTTTTACAGCATATGGATGGCTTTACCTGTCATGTTTAGTTGGAATTATAAAAACCAAACCCAAAGTATATCTACAAAAATGCATGTGTTATTACATTGAAGCAAACCAGAACAAACAATACTGCACTGAAACCAGGGAGAACTAGAGGTCACTAACATGTAAAGCAACCTTAATCCTTTGACCTCTGACAGTGAATAGTATCCTAATTTTCTTTACAATATCATCCCTGGATCACTCAGTAAGGGCACAAGAATAAAGGAAATGATCACCAACTAAAGAAGCTCTTGATTGATAAACAAATTGTCCTTATTAGCACCTTAGGAAATGTATAGAGAACAGTGTGGAGAATATGCATACTAATGTTAAGGTGTAAAGTGTTAAGTAGACGGAGATAATTGTTAGTAACTATAATGTGATCCATTTTAGTAAGTGTTGCCTCCTTTTAGAACTTCATTTTGCAGTCTCAGCACAAATTTCTAATACAATTTTTGATAATGACACTAACAATTATGTGGTTTATGGAGCATACTTCTCCCTAAACATCAATCAGTGTGGTAAAAAACAAAATTTCAACATTACTCCTGTGATTGGCTTGAGAATCACTTTAAAGCTCTCTTGTAAACAAAATCCAAGTTGATAGCCAAAAGACACAAACCTTTCTTTCCCTCCATTACATTCTGTTTAGCCTTTTTCTGCTTCATGTAAGCCAACATGGGATCATCATCTCTTTCCTGATCTTTCAACATTTTATCTAGGTCAACATCATCACGGTACCGAGCCAGTGGTTTATCCACTTCGTGTAGATAATCAGCAACTTTTTCCTCATTTTCTCTAGTTTGTGCTACCCTGTTGACAAGGGACAAATAAAATTAAACGATCTCAGGAGTGTACTTATCTTCTACTAACTGGGTGATGTTGGGAGGGTCAGGAAATATGGGAATGATCAGTTAAAGTGAAATGGTAGTGCCTCAATGGTCAACTTCTTGCATCCAATATGAATTCATCTGAATACCAATTTCTGTTGCTCTGAGGAAAGTTTCAATCTCATTTTGTGCAAGTAATTAACCAACTATACCTTCATATTTTTCTCGGGAGAGGGTTGATTTACTAGGGATTACATTGGGGCTTGCATTTTCACAGATCTACCATAATGAAAACACTCACCCTCTTCCCCACTCCATAAATTTCTCATTCTCTTCTGTCTCCTTTCTTTCCTCCTCCCTTCTTTTAATTCTCTCTAACTTGATGTCCTTTTTTCTTCCCATTTTATCACGGTACACTGTTTCTGAACCTTTGCCTGATATACTTGGATCCATTGTAGCAAACATTTCAGCTTCTCTCTGCCGTTTCCTTTCATTTTCTCGCTTCAAGTCACTTCCACTCAGAAGACCAGCTTTCTGTCCTACACCAACAGAAAAAGTTTAATCATTTTAGGAAGTTTATAGAGGCAGATCACATACAGTTCTGAGAACCTCTAACATAAAAGAGAAAAAAAAAAAGTCAAATACCAGCAAACATTCCCCAGCTAAAAGGGGAACTACATGTAAATCTAGTTTCTAAAATACTTGGCCACATTCTCTCCTTGTAAGTCTGGACCAGTGTTCGTTCACAAAACTCAGTCCAGAAAAAATTAAGTTTATGTTGATTACAGATGGCTGGAAAAATTCAGAAAATATGGAGCTTTCTCCAAACTTTCAGCAACGCAACACCTGTATAACTTTGCAACTTGAAAATCAAAAGCAAAGAAATAAACTTCACAGTTTCACTAACCACTAGCCATTCTTTCTTCATGTTTATCCGCTCTCTTTTGTTTCCCACTTTCTGTTCTTATGTCTCTCCTATCAGGTTTTTTTTGTCTTCTTGGTGGTGACTGGTCTGAATCACCATTACCACGTTTTCTAGGGGGTGACTGATCAGATTCACTGTTTGCACGTTTTCTAACAGGTGACTGATCAGACTCACTATTTGCTCTTTTCCTTAGCGGTGATTGATCCAATTCTTTATTCAGTTCCGACCTGGGAGGTGAAAGGTCAGAAGAATCATTCCTACGTCTCCTCACAGGAGACCTATTGGGACTTTCTTGTAACCGTGGTGAGTCAAGACTGTGATCTTGTGACTGCTCTGGTAGAGAATCACCAGAATCATGCCTTCTCCGCCTCGCTCTTGGAGGACTCTGATCTGCTGCGGGAGAGGCATCTTGCCTCCCATTATGGACTGAAGGTGAATCTCTTACAGCTCTATGCGAAGATTTTTTCCTAGGTGGCGATTGGTCTGAGTTGTAAACACCTCCACCACGTCGAGGAGACAAGTCAGGTGTATCCAGTCTCTTTCTGCCTGTTATTCGTCGTATTGGGTTCTCACTCTCAAAATTTAACCTATCCTCTTCCTCTCTATATGACTGAGTCGCTTTACTTATTGGCGCCCACTTGTTTCTATGGTCTTCCTCTCTTTTCTTGAATGATTCTATTGATACTTTTGTGATACCATCTTCTTCAAAAACTGCTGGAGCTTCGTCAACATCGCCTTCCAGTTCGTTCACGTCTTGTGCGGAATCATGGACTTTGATATCTCTGATATCGATATCATCATCCACAATGATAGATTTTGGATATCTTGAAGAGGTCTTGGGAACTTTCTTCCTCTTCTTCTTTTTTTCACCTTCGGAATTGGATAAATAACGCTTGAGGTACTCTTGCTTAGAAATGGCCGCCATCTTGAAAATGGTGATGCGCCAAAAGGGTGGCGCATATGTTGTTAGAGACACTGCTGTGAAAACGCTGGCTCGCAATCAGCTGAAAGAATATTGTAATAATCATGGCTGACTGGGAAGAAATAAAGCGACTGGCGGCTGATTTTCAACGCGCTCAGCTAAGTAGCACAGCTCACAAACTCTCAGAAAGAAACTGCATCGAAATAGTTCAGAAACTAATCGGTTTGGGACTGGTTGAGGTTATTTACACGACAGATGGCAAGGAATATCTCACCCCACAGCAACTTGAACGGGAGATAAAAGACGAATTATTTGTTCACGGCGGTAAGTATCTGTGTTACTTTGGTTCTTGATTACTAGTTTGGAACGATCCTTAGTGAAGTTGTAACTTTTCTGTTTCAGGGAGAGTTAATTTGGTGGACTTACAGCAGGTACGTTGACTTCATCTTTAATTTCCATTTCAGTGGGGTAACTTTTTCTTTATTTCATATCCACGTGTGTCGATTTTAAAAGATGACGTGTATTTAATTATTACATCCAGTTCCTTAAAAATCTGTATTTTTGGTTGCCATAACGATAACCTTGATGTCTTAAGAGTAATTTTAATTTCTTTGGCAAATTTCTAGCCGAAATGTTTCTCCTGAAATGTACATTTTTGTCGTGTTTGTTTTAATTAACTCACCATGCCTTTCGTGAGCTTTTAAAGATTTGTCATCGGAAAAATAATTAATTTTTTACCTCTCATCGAATATTATCCTGAGAAAGCAAGAACTATACTTGTGTTATAAGCAACCAAAAACTTAAAACTAGCTTTTCCAATTCTTGGAATATTACATACATGTCATATGCAAAGTGGCTTCAATTCACTTATGTTACCTTATTATTAATAAATAAATAAATAAAGAAAAACAACATTTTAACCACATCCATCACCTTTAATTTAATTATGTCAATCATGTTTTTGGTCACTGTATCAAGCTTTTACTCGTATGATGCGTCAGCTGGGGAAATCCTTCACCTTTCTTCTGTGGAATTGAAAAATGATTACCAGCCCTGTGTTGCCTTTCCTCAGATGGTAGAGAAGTTGGCAGGATGCTAAGCACTTACTATTTTGATTCTTGCTAGATTATCGGAGTAGATCTGACCCATGTTGAGAATAAGGTCGCCGAAATTGTCAAACATGACAAAAATTTGATTGTCATCCAAGGAGAACTTATTGACAAGTAAGAATCAAACTAACATTTACTATTTGAAAAAATTGTTGATTCACAGCGTAATAGCTGATTGTTTGTATGTTACAGACATATTTCAGTAACAGAGATCCCTATATTAGACTATGGGGTTTCAAAAACTTTATCAAACACTGAACTTCCTCATTTTTAATGAAATGAATTTCATTTGATCTGCAAATGAAAACAAGTAAAGCAATTATTATCCTTGCAGGTGAGATGCAATTTACTGAAAGAAATTGCAGAAAAGAAGCCAGAAAAAATTCAGCCTTGCCAGATTCAAATGATTCAAATGCATACCCCCCAGATACTTAATCTTTAATCTCCCTAGTCATTCTAAGCAGCACATGGCAGTTTGTGGTCTTTCCCTACATCTAGCCATATCAGAAAGCCGAAAAACTCTAGAACAAAAATTTATCTTTCAAATCAGTTCTTTTAATCCCCACAGTATCAATGAGCGCTTTTAATTCAACTACTTTATTCTTGTTTTTTTTCATCATATTCTCACCAATAGTGTAGCTCCATTTTTTGCATATATACCCACACACAACCCTCAATTCCTCTTATCACTTTGATGAAGGGCTAACGCTTGAAATGTCAGCCTTAAAACTCTTTATGTCGGCCAATTTACTTTATAAACTCAGCTAATAACTTCCTAGATACTTAGTTGGGTGCTACAAACTGAGCTATGAAGCAATTGCTTAAATTGCAGCATCTGTGAGGATCATTGCTTTACTTGACTACTCTTCATTTCATGGAACATCTTTGCCAAACAGATCTTGGAGCCTCAAATCACTTCCAACTCCTTCATCCCTTCCAAATGTTCCTTCTCTTCCCCAACCCTTACACAGTTATAACTGCATGTTACCAGCCAGGCAATGTTGATTGTAAGGAGGGGGGAAAAAGTTACCATTATTACATTGTTTTTTCAAGAGAAATGTTGCATAAACGAGGAAGTGTTCAAACAGTTGTTTTCTGAGATTGGAGCCATCCTAACAGCTTGTTAACATTCTTTTTAATGTAATTTCTTGGATTACAGCAACTACTTAGACCAAGTTGCAGAAGAGATCAATGACACTTTACAAGAGTCTGGACAAGTTGTTATCTCAGAGTTAAGCAAGACATTTACACTCTCCACTGACTTCCTACTTGAGGTGAGCTATGCAACAGATTATTTCCTATGGATGTGCTACAAATTTGATGAACATAATGAAAATGCGATCCATATTGCTGCAAAAATATAAAGTGATTTTGTAAGCAGCTATGAGTCATCAAGTGTTTTTAAGAGGCAGGATTTTGTAGTGACACAATTATGAGTGCCAGCTGTCATGTGCACATATAGGGGGGTGTAGGAGGGCCTTTTCTGTTTGCTTGTTTGAGCTGGTGAAACGTATCCTCAAGTTAGGAATAACAGTTACAAAATTATGTCTGATGTATCCATCAATCAACTGATTTTGTTGCTGTACTCTTGGAGTTTTAAAGATTTGCAAAAATAGTGAAGGGTAGCAAACAGAAGGTTACTGATTACAAATTTCATTGGGTCAAAAGGATTAAATTTATAGAAATTGTTCCTTTCCTATGAGTCAAAGGTAGCATAAGTGTTTTTAGCTCACCAGAATAGAGATTACTCTTTTTTGATTACCATAGATTGTTGAGAACAGATTAGGGACAATCATTCATGGACAACTTGATCAATTGGAGAGAGGTGTCCTGTTTACTGATGCATTTGTAGCACGGCAGATGGCTTGCATCAGAGGAGTCTTTAGTGCTGTCACAAAGTATGTCACTTAATGAAAAATTAACACAATTTTATTGATGTTTAACTCAGTATTTCACTAACCAAAAGTTCCATGATCAACATCTGAAAGACAAGTCTTACTATGTGAAGGGCAAATAATAAAAAAAATTTAGAATTGATGACATTGAGTTCCTATAAAATGTTATCAGTCTTGCGTAGCAGGAATTCTAATGTTCCTTTTTTGGGGGGTGTTTTTCATTCATTAGACAAAAACTTTTGTTATTTCATCAGTTCCAAAGAAAGATGTTAGATAATTTATTGATTGAGTTTAAGAGGGATGGACAATTTTTAGTCTCTTGCTTTGTTGAATAAAATCTGCATTTTGTTTATTAAAGAAACACAACGGGAAAGTTAGTGAACTCTGATGTTGAGAAGAAGTTAAGTTATCTTCCTAATGACTTAGTCTTGATACATTTTCTCCTTTTGTTTGTTTCTAAATTTGATTAGCTTTGTTTACATGTAAAAAAGTTTATATCTTTGTCATCAGGTTATGGATAAACTAGTAAACTGGGTGATGTTAATTATGGGTATTTAACCAAGCTTTTTTCTTTTTTTTTTTTTTAGGCCCACACCTATATCAAGTCTTATGGCTCAGTATGGATTTCAAGAAAAGCTACTTTATAGTAAGTGGTTAGTTGTCCTTGTGGTAACCCTGCTTAGCATGCATAAGAACAAATTATTCTTTTAATTGAAGCCCCAGTGTTTGATTTGGCACAGGTATTTCATTTCTTTGCCACCTCTGCCCCCTTATTGTTTTCTTCACTCCAGGCTTTTTTCTCAGTAAGGGGCATGGTAGCTTCAATACTAGCTAAAAATATTGAAGACACCCACCCCCGCTTAAAGTATGTTAGCTGAACACTCTTTCTGTGGTGTGCTCTGAGTGCAGCAGTATCTCAGAATATTTTGGATGTTTGAGATGACTTAAGTGGCAATATTTGAAATGTGTTGTGTACAATCCCTCCATAACAGTTTTTCTTTTGCAGTGGATATAGACCAGTTGTGCTCTGACGGCCGTATATCAGGAAGTATACAAGGGAGACAAGACAAGGCTGTATTTGTTCCAGATATCTACTCCAAGACACAGACTTCTTGGATAGACGACTTCTTCAATCAGAATGGATATGTAGGTGAGTAACTGTAGCAACACTTTTCATTCAAGTGACATCTTATTATGTTATTCTCTAAGAAATCATGTACCCTATAATATTTGCCAGTACTTAAAAGAGTGTCAGCCACATGGTGTGGTGCATCTTCAAAAGTGGCACTTAAGTGGGATTGTGGTTAATATGTAAAATTTCCCGTCAAGAAATAACATTACTCCTTTTTAATTTAATCTTATGATCCTTTGTTTTGTTCGAAAAGATAACTAAAGCATTAAAGTCTCAAAGGAATGTAACAAATTTGAGATCCCAAGTACAAAACAACAAAATAACTTGTCATGTGAAAATAAATTAATAGACGTCTGTTTTGAACAGTAGCTCATTACCCACTCTGGATCTTAATAATTCCAAGTAGAAGGCTATGTGGTATATACAATGTACTAAATAAATGCCGTGTTCTTTCGAGGGTATGACTTAAGAATGATTCTCCCTCGAAATTAGAAGTTCTTTCTCTATGCAATAATAAATGTTTCAATGGAATTTTTTTTGTTTAGAGTATGATGCATTGTCACGTCTTGGGATTACTGATGGAAGACAATTTCTAAAGAGAAGATTCCATAAGTTACCAGTGAAATTTCTGCCCACATGTTGTGTGGGTGAATCTTTACAAGGCCAGGTGGAGGCTGCTATTGATGAAGCTTTGTCTAGTGGTGAATGGATTGACATACTGGTGAGTGTTTTGATTACCTTGGATTTTTCTTTCTTTAATAAGTTAAAGGAATATACCAAAAACATGTCTCTTCACTTTGTGGGAACTTTGTAGTTTTTGCACTTCTCTCAGTATTATATACAAGTATTTCTCTTGCACTGTATGTTAGTGATTAAGAGTTTCTTTCCTTTCCTAGCCTCTCCTTCCATCGCCATTCACTCCAGGGGATGCTTCTCAGCTGTTACAGGATTGTCTTAAGGCTGTTGGTAGATCGTCAGCTCATGTGTTCTGTGAGAGCATTGTGGTCAGTGAAAAGTTCCTTCAAGATTGTAAAGATCCCTTCCAACAACTGATGCAAGACAAAGCCAAAGCGGTATATATTTAAGCTTTTTTTGCATTTTAACTGCCTAGTATTTTCATCCTTGGAGAACTCCGAGTTATAAGGTTTCCTTTTGTTAGCTGTTTATTAGAATACTGTCATGAACTGATTAGTTCATTTTTTCTTTTAGGATGCAATTAAAGCTCCTGCATTGTTCTCAGAGCTTACCAGAAAAGACTTGGCTTCTATGGGTGCCTCCAAAGGAGGTACTGACAGACGGGACAACAAGAAAGAGGAGAGGCGGAAGAAGGCAGCCTCAGGAGGTAGTAAAGGAGGAGGAGGAGGCGGAGGAGGAGGGGGTGGTGGTAGTGGAGGTGGTGGTGGAGGCAGAGGAGGAAGAGAAAGTAAAACTCAAAAGGTGAGAGTGGTAAATAGGGGATTATTTTTACTTCATTTAAATCATTGCAGTTATATACACAGCTTCCTTGCATCTTGTTGTGTTGGGATTCACAACTTTTAGTGGTAAATTCTAATTTTCTCTTAAAAAAAAAATTCAAATCCTTAGGTACGTGATAAGAAAAAGGACCGTGCTAGAGATGAAGATGTGGAGGAAGACATCAGACCTAAACAAAGCTCCTCTGATATACCCTTCATGACAGCTGAAGAGGTAAGAGTGTTTTTGTTTTTCTGTTTCTACATGGGTGTGTTTCTTGTTTGGATCTTTGTTTTCTTTGTTTTAGAAGTTTCCTCAAATTTCTCTTTTTCTTTAGTTCCTTTGTCTTTTTTAACTCCTCACTTAAGAATCACTGAACCCCAGCTGAGCTGAGTTGTTTTATAGCTTTGCAGACAGTTTAAATTTTGTTTATATTTTTCCTTCAGTTTTGTCTTGCGCCAAGTAAAACCCTTAAAAACATAAACCCTAATATATGCTTTATTTCAAGAGAAATCATGGACAAGTTCAGCTTTTAATCCTGGATTGTTGGTAACGCCCTTTCAAACAACCAGCCCCAGTTGGTTACTTGGCTCACTATAACAGTGAAGTAAATTCAACTACATCAGTCAAATAAAGTTGAGGGAACCTAGGTTGACTCAAGCATACTTTTGTGAATCATTGCCTGTTTTTGTTGCTCTTTCAATGTAGATATCAGAAGAATTACAGAAAAGATTTCCAAGTTGTCCAGAGGAACTCTTTGAAGAATTAGCTTCTTACCTGTTTAGGTGAAGAATCACTTAGAATAAAGAGAGCAAGATTTTTTTTAGGATTTGGATCTTTCTTAAACTTTACTAAATTTTGGAAGTTTAATTTTTTTTTTAATTTCCTATCTTCAATTTTCATCTTTTGTTTACTGTAGCAATTACTCCAGAGGTGGTAAAAACTTCACAGAAATCTTGTAATTAACAAAACAGGGCTTTGTTAGCTTAGGAAAGCTATGAATTCCATGCTCTAAGAACTGTTGTATGCTGGCTATCTCTTAATCACATCTTTGTGTTGAGAACATCACTGTAATACTGAATAATGCAGCTTAGTTGTTCTTTAGAAGGTATTTTTTTTGTGATTGTTTGGTTGCTTTTTATTTACCCAATAGACCGCTGACCCAATGTTACCAAGAGGTGGCTCGGTCGGTCTTCCTTTCCACAGGAGACAAAAAACGTAAAAGTCATTCAGAGGTGCAAGAAAAAGTCAGTGTGCTGTGGGCAAATGCAAAACTGTTTGACAAAGGAATCAAATTATTTTCTGGTAAGTGACTTTTTAAAATACTCTTTGACTCCCAATCATGATCAGCTGATTTTTTTCTTGCTTTGATGGATCCACCTCAGACCGGGGACTTTAACCTTTCCCACCCTAACATCAGTTAGGGTGGGGGGGGGGGGGGGGGGGGGGGGAAAGGGACACTGTAAGGAAAATTAGATGCCAGTCACTCCCAGGGTCAAAGGGTAAATGGTAACAGACACTGTGAAACCATTCCAAATCTGTGGTGGGTTCTGTAACTCTTAAGAAACCTTTGTCATGTGAACTATTTCATTTACCTCCATCAACTGCATGAGGGTGATCTGATTATTATCAAGATTTGGGTCAGATCTGTGAGCAACATTGAGTCTTGTTTTGTGTGGTTTTAACAGATGATGTACAAGTGCAGTTGTCCCGCCATCTTCTGCGAACGGTATGTACAGATATAGTAAACCAGGCAGTGGGTCTGTTAGCTGCTGACCACATGATCACAATCAATGATGAATCAACTCTAACTCCTGAGGTATGGATGTAATTATGTTACTTTCATTAATGCATGTTCAGTTTAGTCAGAATTTAACAGAACACTTCCCTCTTAAAAATACCCTGTCTTTCTGAATTATCCCAGATTTGAAATTTCCTTGTGGAAATATATATAGTTTGCATGGGAGTCAAAAAAATATTTTTATAGGGAAGGCTCTGCACTCACCCTTGTTTTCAAATAGAGAATTTCATTATTTCCATAAGTGGAACAGTTATTCTGGATTGGCTAAGATCAGAGGAAAATCTTCGAGACTTAATATGATAACTGCTTATATATTCATAAGACTTTCCATCACAAGACTGGGTATAATCTATTAGTTTTTGTCAGATTTTTAAAGGTGCATCTTTGCAAGCTTTCAGTTTTCACTACACTTGGTTTGATTCATTTGATTACACTGTATGTATGCTAACAAGGACTAAGCTATTATTAATAGTGATGATTCTTTCTTACACAGGATCGTCTGAAAGTAATTTCAAAATTTCCTGACAAAGTAAAAGCTGAGGTAGCCAAGTTGAATTCTTCATTAAATGGAAAGGTTTGTCATCCTTATTTTGTGTGATGAGTACCAGTACTTGTTTTGTATACTTATATGCCATCTACTGATTTCAAAACAGTAAGTCTCTCACATCCTACTTTTTTCAGGAAACAGAAGATTTCTTTAACCAGTTTGATGTAATTTGTGGGAGTGGCTACTGCGAGTTTATGTTGAAGAAGTTGGATAAGAAAAGAGAAAGGCAAGTCTTGGGTATCACTTGTTAGGGCCTTAACCCTTAGCTCCAATTAGTATACATTAGACTTACTACTAAAATTCTCATTGGTTAAGAGCATACAGTCAATATACAATAACAAGTGAAGTTGAGATGATAACTCAACATCTGCAGCAGATACTGGGTTATCATGTCTAGTTCAAAGTTTGCCAAGTTTCCAAGCCTCTCTTCTGTGTAGCATCAAACTTGTGCAAACTCAGAAAGAAATGTCTTCTTTTGCAGATTATTTTGAAAATGTATTTTAAAACAATTATTGATTTCAGTTTTCACACAATGATTTATCAAACCCTATGTCTTTTTTATCTGCTTCATCCTTCGGCAACAGCAGATAGCTCAGACCTTAGCATTGACAATTCATGATATCATGCTCAACTTCATCCAATAATTGCCTAAGATCTGATCATTCATTCTCCCCTCTAACTGCTACACATTTTTCTTTAATCTGGTTATGAGAATTTGGCATTTAGATCAAGATAACTCATACGGGATTAATTTAAGAATTCTCATGGTATTTTTGCTGGATACTAACTATATGGATATTATAGGGAGAAACTACATGTTAAAAAAAATTATAACATTATTTCTATAGCGTTTGTACATTACCATTATTATGCTATCTACATGTAGATGCAGCAGAGAGCTACTGTATTTCCTACACAGTTCAAACAATTACATTTCCCTCAACAAGAGCCAGCTTTATAACAAATTTAGCCTAACAGGAATAAAAGCCTCCTTCTATCATCATGATATAATTTCTGAAGAAACTTTTGTCTAACACCGTTCTTATCAAATGTTATTACTGATGTGGCGTCCTTTTTTATTTACATTTGAATTTTAAAGGCAGTTGACAGTTGAGCATCGCTGCGCTCTTCAGGAACAGTTACGTCAAGAAAACGAGCCTGCCATGGCTCTTCACCTAGCATCAGCGGTGTTATTCCAACACCACACTCACTGCATGGTACATGCACCAGGTCGGTGCGTGCCTCAGATAATAAACTTTCTCAAAGATAAGTTAACATCCGAAAACTTCGACAAATTAAACCACTACATGACACTAGTTATAAAGCAACTGTCCGGCAACGAAGATAATGCAGTGAAGAATGGTGATGAACATGAAAAAGAGGAAGAACATGAAGAGAGAACGATAGGAGCTCAACTGGAAGAAGGACTGGAAGACATCAAGCGAATAGCACTGGAGTTAAAAAAAGTCAAAGGCGAATCTTAAGTTAAGATTAACAATTTTTTTTTAAGAGCAAACGAAGCGATTTTGTTGCGTTACATCTTGCAATGTCGTATCACGCTACCATCTTTAAGTACACGTACAAAGAGCAGTGTAACTAGCCCTCAATCTTCATGGTAAAATTTGAGATACATTTATTTATTTATCTACTTATGAACTAAGCAAAATTCTAAAACGACAGTTTAAATGTTAAATTTACATAGCAATTGTACTTAAAATTAAGGAAAAAGTAGTCATATACGCTCGTATCATGACAACTTCTCCAAAGATTGGAATCGTGCAACGTTCTGAAAATTTTTGTGGCGTATTGTTAGTACCTTCTGCCTATAAGATCCACAAACATTTCAAGTTTCAACGTAGTTTTATGATTCTGCGTCGAATTTTGGTCATTATCATACAAAAGAGATTAAGAGAATAAATTGTTACATTATCGGATCCTAGGTTTAGCTAGAAGAAGGTTTAGAAGTCACGTTGTCAACTGCTGTAAAAAAAAGAAGTTACACTGGACCGTTGGTTGTAGGCTGTGGTTGATTATCTCATAATGCTTAAGTCTAGAAGAGAGGAAAGTACTTGAGTAATGG